GTCCTCCTTGTGCATGCGTGGGTTGTCTCCAGGTACTCCGGCTTGCTCCCACAACCCAGACCCCAAAAACATGACTGTTAGGTTAAATGGTCTGTCTGTGTGTGTGATTGTTTGTCCTGTGTGTCTCTGTGTTGCCCTGTGATGGACTGTCCAGGGTGTACCCCGCCTGATTGCCCATTGACCGCTGGAGATAGGCTGATTGAAGACCAGACGCGCCGCTGCATTCTGGACCATTTGAAGAGGTCTCACAGTACAGCCTGGAAGACCATTTAGAAAGGCATTGCAGTAATCGAGGCGGGAGATGACAGTAGATTGCACGAGGAGCTGGGTGGCATGTTGTGTTTGGTATAGTCTGATCTTTCATATGTTATACAGCGCAAAGCGGCATGAACGAGCAACAGAGGCAACATGATCTATCAAGCTCAGGTGTTCATCAATCACAACACCCAGATTTCGAACTGCCTTTGAAGGAGCCAGAGATAGGAAGTCATTTTGGATTGAGATATTGTGCTGTATGGATGGCTTTGCTGGGATGACAAGTAGATCAGTTTTAGAGAGTTTGAGTTGGAGATGGTGGGATTTCATCCATTTTGATATGTCAGAGAGACAGTTTGATATTCATGCAGAGACAGTTTGGTTGTCCGGTGGAAATGACAGATAGAGCTGGGTGTCGTCTGCATAGCAGTGATAGGAGAAGCCATGTGATCGAATCTGGAATTGGGCAGCAGTAGCTCAACAGGTTGAGCGGGTTGTCTAGTAATCGGAAGGTTGCAGGTTCGATCCCGGCTCCGGACAGATAATTCTGCTGTTGTGTCCTTGGGCAAGACACTTAACCCACCTTGCCTGCTGGAGGTGGTCAGAGGGACCGGTGGCAGCCTCGCCTCTGTCAGTGCGCCCCAGGGCAGCTGTAGCTACATCATAGCTCATCCCCACCAGTGTATGAATGTGTGTGTGAATGGATGAATGATACACTGTAGTGTAAAGCGCTTTGGAGTCCTTACTCTGAGTGGCGCTATACAAGTGTGGGTCATATGAACTCACCCAGTGAGGTGGTGTATTTGGCAAAGAGAAGATGTCCTAGTACAGAGCCCTGGGGGACTCTTGTGGCAAGATGGTGCACGGTAGAGGATTGTCCAAGCCAAGATACAATGAATGATCGTCCTGTGAGGTACGATTCAAACCAGGCGTGTGCTTTCTCTGTGGTGCCCATGCTAGAGAGTGTGGACAAAAGGAAGCCATCGTTGACAGTGTCAAATGCAGCCGATAAGTCGAGCAGGATAAGCACTGAGGATTTGGCAGTCGCTCTAGCTTCTTTTAAGGATTCCGTCACTGCTAACAGAGCAGTTTCAGTGGAGTGGCCCTTTTTGAACCCAGATTGGTAAGGGTCAAGCAGACAGTTTAGTGAGAGGTATTCTGTGATCTGCTTGAAAGCCACCTTTTCAATGATTATGGACAGAAAAGGGAGGAGAGAGATAGGTCGGTAGTTCTCCACATGATTTGGAGGAAGAGATGGGTTTTTTAGCAGTAGTTTAACCTGAGCATGCTTGAGAGAGGTGGGAAATGTACTGGATGTCAGTTAAGCGTTGACCACATGTGCGACTGCTGCGACTACTGTAGGAGCAATGGCTTGGAGCAGCTTAGTCGGAATGGGGTCAAGTGGGCATGTAGTAGGGCGGCTGCACGTGAGAAGCTTGGACACAGTTTTCAGTGGGAGGGGAAAAAGAGGAAAATGAAGCTGTAGGGCTTGAGATGGTTGGACTAGAAGGAGCTTGTGGTAGTGAATGTTCAAGAGTGGCCAGTTGAGTAAACTGTTTGCTTATGGCTGCCACTTTGTCAGTGAAGAATGCTAACAAATGCTGGATAAATCATAATACTTGGTTCGAGGAAATGTTGCTTGAGACTACAAGTTTGTAATTGACAAAAATTTGAATTCTAATGTTTTTTAACCTGTCAAGGCTATTTTAAAAAACATTAACCACTTGTTTAACTCATTAGTATACCAACCTCTTCCCATTGCCTTGAGTGATGTCCTTAATGTCACGTTGCGGCAGGAGGAGGTTGAACCCAAAATGCAGAACCCAGAACGACTTGAGGCAGGAGAGGTTGTAAGAAAATAAATTCCTTTTATTAAGGGGGAGGAGCAAAATCCAAAAAGCACGAAGGACCTGGGAAACTCGAGGAGGACAAAAACAATGCTGACAACATCAGTGGACCGACAAACACTGAGAGACACAGACGGGGTTGTATACACAGGGCTGGGTGATAGGAGATGAGGAGCAGGTGCCTGGGGAATTGGGCACAGGTGAAACTAATGAACTGAGGGAAGAAGCAGAAATGAGCAGGGGAGAAAACCATATCTAAATCCTAAATCAAAGCTACTAAAATAACCTGAACTTTAAACACTGTAGAACAAAAACTAAAGATAAATAAACTAATGATAAGTGAAGTGACTAAAGGGAAACCTGAAGAAGCTGGGGACCAAAAGGGGGGCACAGAAGTTTAGGGGACACGTGAGGGGAACCAGGAGGGGCTGGGGACCACAGGGACACAGAACATCCTGTTCGTGTTCTTTGAGCTTTGCTGCTGATGAATCCTTGATTAATCAAACGGAGTCCAAACTTTAAAGAGAGGTGTAATAACTCAGACCAGTCAGGTGATAAATGTGTTTTATTTAAGTTCTCAGGAATTTGTCTTACCAACATTTTTAAAGCACTCAACTTTGGATTCTAAATTACAGTCTAGTGCTTGAAATTTTCATTCTATTTCCAGTGACAGAAGTAATAAATTAGGTCATTTTTCTAAAGGAAAAACTCACTTCAGGACTTTTTAATAAATGTCTCTAACTTCAAAAGCACCTCTCTGAGAAGTCAAGCAGGCCCAACTCAGACCAGAAGAGGCTGAACTGAAAATGTTAATTCATCACGTTGTGTCCCAAACAACGCTGTGGGCTACGGAAATGCAATATTCATATCACAGAAAGTTATGTTCTTCTTGTGTCTGTTACTGTTCCATCCTTGAATATTATTTTCAGGAAAGACATGTCACCTTCCTGAAATCTAAAATCTTCAATTCAGACTATTTCTAATGTTGTTTCCCAGCAAAAGTCATCTTAACACTAGAACTACTTTGGTCATTTTGCAATTTGCATAAAAAATTACTTTAGAAACAATTTTATTTGTTTTATAAACTGCCCAGTGTTCCCAATCCAGATGTTGGGTTGACTGCCAGTGATTTTGTTTGGTTTCCCTGGGCAAGATGAAAATAGAACACCAAGATTGGGACATTTTACAATCAAAGAGCATCTCCAGCATTTGATCAGTCTTTCTCTTCCTCACAATTGTGTTATTTTTATCTTTTATAACTGTCTGTTTGTCTATTAATAAAATACGTATAAAGGAAAAGAAATATAATGTTTTTATTACACGTATTTTATTAATAGACAAATTAATATTTTATTAATAGACAAACAAATTGTGCAGAAATAAGACCATAGAAATGGCATTAGAGAGACTGATCATATGGAGTTGGAGTGTAGGGAATACAGTCGGTAAAGACTCAGGACCAGGTCTTGAGTTAAAATCTGAATAATTGTTAATGTGAGAGTTTGGAGCTGTACATTTGAAGAAATAATAATATAATAAAAAATAATAATACTGGAATAATTTCTATGGTTATTTAGTAGAGAGCTGGAGTTGGTTAAAGTCATCTAAGAGAATGAGTTTTGCAGTCAGGGTCCAACAAGGCACTGAAAGCTGTTAAAAAGTATAATGCGTCTGAAATAAACTTCAGTAGTTGTTTCAAAAAAAGTGAGTATCCAATGAAATGAAGTTTAGCTTGTTTAGACTGTTGTTTACTGTTCTGGGCCTTATCAAAAGTGGTATTGAGGCTTCACACACACCCAGAAGCTCAAACATTAAAATTTTGAAGCGTTTTAGAAATCCCTTTGGTGCCCTCCAGTGGTATCATTAGTAATTATAACAGTGGATTGGGCATTATTAAGGCCTCTTTGGTGTGTTCTTACTGTGTGTTTCTAATTCCATTTTTGGTTCTTTTTAAAACGCAGGAAAGGTTTCTCTTTACCTTGCTAACGTTTCATTTGCCGACTGCAAAACATCCTCAGTCAGTCGGCCTGCCATTCTTTCAGTCAGGAGGGAATAAACAAAGGTGCATTCATTACCTGCTTGATTCTACTGGGAGTAATAAACAGATATACCATTATAACTCACTTAAAGAGCAAGTCACCCCCAAATCAACTTTTTTTGCTGATAAACTAAATAAAGAAGTGTCTAATCGTGCTGCAGACACGTGTAGTCAATTATTTGGCACTTCGGTGCATCTTAGTTAAAAGTGAAATATTCTGCCTAAAACTGTCAGTGCTGCGCCGTTGTCAGGTAAAAACTCTGCACTGTATTTGAATTTAAATCTGCCACAGCTATTGGCTAAGAGGTATGCTATGATATAAACTGGTACATTATGATGTCACAATGCTGTTGTGAGCCTGTGTGTGTGTATTTGTTAGCGGCTCCGCCCTCTTGGTCTGCCAGGTAACAGCATTTGTTGCATTTTTCAAACATGAAGTGGGAGTGGAGTTAGACTCTGGTAGGGGGTGACTTGCTCTTTAAAGTGCTAGTAAAATGGTCAGATCGCTTTATTGGCTGGAGAAACAAATGTATTGCAAAAGAGCAGTGTTTACTGCCTGACGCATGGCCACATGGAAGAGTGTTCTTCTAAACATGGGATGGGCGCTTAAATTATTCATGTTGGTTTTTGGTGTTAATATTATTTATGAATTAAATTAACGAGTATCCGTTAATTTATATGGAGCCATAAGTTTACAAATGATAGGCAAAAAATAAAAGATAATCGTTGGAAAAAATATTGTATATAAAAACATGCAGGGATCATTAAGAGCCTGACTATGGGGTCGCTTTGAGGACGATTTCAGTTGCATCCCGCGCGGTTCTTTGACGCGGTATCTCTATTGATTTCTCGGAGTCGATTATTCAGCCTTGAAGTTTTTCCGCGCAACTACTCACGCCTAAGTTGTTTACAAGTGTTTTGGCTAAACATGGCAGTTTAGAGTCCGTGATAGCTAAAGCTCAAAGGCTGTAAAAACAATTTTAACGAGTTATTTAAATTTTTTTACATCTATCGATGACCTTGATTTTTATCTCGTCGTTGGTTCAGTTTTAATTTGCTTTTAACTCGATTGACGCTAAAGCTAGTTAGCTGGCTAACGTCTTCATAGGAAACAATGACGACTCCTGCAGCTAGTATTAGCTGCCTTACTGCAAAAGGACTGGATATAAGTTTGGCTGCCCTGCAGCGACAAGATCCTTACATTAATAACATTGTTGACGTGGCCAGCCAAGTTGCTCTGTATACTTTTAACAACAGGACAAATGAGTGGGTAAGTCAGAAAATATTTTCTTCTACTAGTAAAAGATGCCATATGCTAGCTTAGCTTTGCTTCAACTGGCAGGCGCGTTTTGTCATTACACACTAACAACAGGGAGTAAGTTCATGTTAAAAAACTGTTTGCGAATGCTAAACTAAATAAAAACGCTGACGTGTGTTATAAGTGATCTACAATAGTGCATTGTATTTTATACACGGAAAAGGTTATGGTCTTAGTCGTGGAAAATAATCTGACTCATACTTTTGAGTTTTGTTTGTTCTCCAGACTGCGATGATGGAACATTTAAACTTATACCACTTTAGAGAAATATTACCGCTCTTGTAGTAAATGTATTATTTATAAACGGATGGTAAATGTGGAAAAATGGAAGAGAGAACCCAACACGTTCCTTGTTTTTCTTTAGGAGAAGACAGAAGTGGAAGGCACCCTTTTTATCTACACAAGGTAACGTTTTTACGTTTAAAACTACGTGATTTTTACAGTAATAAGTAAACTAATTATTCTACCACCATACTTACTGCTGGGATTAGGATTTATTTGTTGTAATCCTATTCTGCCATTTATTCTCTTTTCCCTTTGGTAAGATTTGTGTTTACTTGGTCGATAGAGTACCTTTAAGAAATGTAAGTTTTGTAACACTTAGTGGTGCAGTGTAAAGACATAGTATCAGAGATATGGGTATATATACATATGGTTTGCCATGATAATCCTATGTTTGTTCATTATATCTGATGGTACTGGGTTTTTTTCTGCTGCATCCTCCTCGCCTTACAGACTTGCATCTCCCAGGCATGGATTCACCATCATGAATCGACTCAGCATGGAGAATCTAACAGAGCCCATCACAAAAGATTTAGACTTCCAGCTCCAGGACCCTTTTCTGCTTTACCGCAATGCACGCTGTAAGGCCTAATGCACACAAATACATGTTTACATAGTTTTGATGCACCTTACTAACACATACCTTAGAGTATTTCCAAGTTGTGTGTATTTCTTAATTATTTTAGACCTTGTGAATGCACATACATGTTTATTATAGCCTTTCATTCCTCTAAATGAGCAGAATTTCTACTATATGTGTGTTTCTTTCTATTTTCATTTTCTATACATGTATTTATTCATGCTTACTGTATTCCAAAAATGGTTTTAATTCAGTATTATCATACGAGCTAGAAGAAGGCCTATTTCTAATTCAAATAAAATTTTAATTGGAAAACAATTAATCACAGAAAGAAATTAAATTTGAATTAGATATAGTTTTAGTAAGCTCACCAGATTTAAATTTTAAAGGATGAACTGAAATGAAGATACTTTTGTTTTGTTTTAAAAGCTAACAGAATTTCACCTCAACTACTCATAAAGGTTCGATCATCATTTTCTTTGTTTTGAAGGATTTTTATAAAACAATTTCACAGACAAAAAAACACCACTTGTAATTTCTGTCATATTATGGATGTGGTTGACAGGTGGATCAGTGGTATAATTGCCTTTTTTTTTTAAATGCTTCTTGCTTTTTAAATTGCTTTCAAACTACTGCTCAGATTGCTGGTGTAAGTTGTCAGAAGTGAGAGCATTTCCACGTCACAATGACATTTCTTTTCTACTGTAAGAAAGTCTTATGAAACTTTCAGAAAGGGTAGTTAGTCAGATCATCTGAGTGGGAGCTCCATGTAAGGAGCTAAGCCGGGACATTTTAGTAAATTTTATCAGCCTGACTTTCCTTGAGACCCACATTAGGCGCCCTCTCACACAATCACATTTCCAAGTGTGCCTGTGGGAAAAGAGTCTGACAGCACTACAAAAGCAGCCAGCAGAGATTAGATAAACCACGACCGTCACTGATAATCTGAACACCCTCTGACGCTGAAGTCGCTGACACACACAGATTTCCCCTGCCAACTTCTCTATCTCAGACTCTCCATCAGACCAAGTAAAAGGCAGGTGGAAACAGATCGCTTACACCTTGCTTTGATCCCAGTACCGTTTTCACCTGTTCCAAAGGTTCACAATGCTAATTAAATGATATTTGTGATGGTTTTTACCTCTGGTCAGAGCATTAGTAATGAGCAGGAATGTTTAGCGTGAGGCTGAGTCATTTGTCATGGGAAGGAAAGAAATTGGAAAACCACTCAAAACCAGTAATCACAGCTTGGCTGATTGCAGTTTCCTCTGTTTAAATGGAAGCATTACCAGAAGTTATGAGTTAATAAGGAGGTTTAGAGCAAGCCTAATGGTAGCTCCAGCTGATTTGAAATATGATTGTAAAACTCCAAAAGGAGATGTGAATAATTGTTGCAATCAGGCTGATTTTTATCTCTGTAGCTGCTGGGATTTAGCAGGATTGTTAATTTTTTTAAGACCGGACCTTTCACTAACAAGAAACAGGACCTCAATGGCTCTAAGATGCATTCAAAGCCTCCATTCTAGTAAAGTAAAAGAGCAAATACTGAACTTTTGAAAGCTTCTGTTACCATAAATGTGTTTTCATTGGCTGTGTTCTGAGCTGTAATAAGCTGGCGAGGCTGCCAGTCCCAGTGCACTGTGACCTGTTGGCGGAGGGGTCGTGGAATCTTATCACTACACAAACATGCAGCCCTCAGAACTGCTGTTACTTCCTGGAATGGCAGTTGGCACAAAGTGGCACTCCATGCTATAAATAAGCAGTAGAGATATACCACAGAACAGATGAAAACGCGTGGAAGAGAAATGCAGACTTTTTATTTTTTCTGTCCTCAGGAGCCCAAGGCTTTTAACATTCCCTTCTCTAAGCACTCAGTCTTGTTGCAGTCGCCCAGTTTAGACGGTTAGTCTCCCCAACTTCACATGCTAGTGCTTTATGGATTTATTTCTCTTTTAGATGCAGCTCCTGAATGCATTTCATTGCCTAAAATGTTGCACAGTGTTTCTGACAGGTCTTACCTCCAGGTCGGATAAACGTATATCCCAGGTCTCTCTCGGACACCAGCAGGCCTTTGTATCTGACTTCCGGTTCCTCCTCCAGCCTCTCATGTTTAAGTTTCCTCTCAAACAGGCCTCTCAGCATCGTCCCTCTGAGGTCAAAAAAAAGTGCTGCTAATTGTTTTATTTGGTCTCTCCACAGTTTGCTTTTGAATATATCTTGAAGCTGTTCTGCCTTTGAATGAAAATGTCCACAAAAATAGGTTTGACTGTCCGAATAGTTGAGTGTCACAGCAGCTGAGTTTCCTCTTCTTTAGACCTAGACTAGTGTGGCAAAAGACGCCTGCAGTTAAGCCTCAGGCAGGAGATATGGAGATGTCACAGTCTTGTCTTTGCTGCGAGTCTGGACGTCTCTGTTTTTGAAGGTGGTGATGGCTCTTCTCAGACTACACGAGCTTCACCTACCTCTGGTCCCATTGGTTAAACCTTGCTTAGAGTTCAGATTGGCAAGCACAATGTAAATGCATCTAAATCACATGGATGCAGGTTCCAACAGCAATGGTTAACACGTTTATGTAGAGCAGTCACAATCTCCGCTGGATCGATCTCCTCCCAGAGAGTTTAGGTTGTGAGGCTCTGGCAGACGTCACTGGAGCTGGGATCTAAGGAGTTTTCCATTTTGTTCAAACTATACAAAAAAGGCAGTCATTTGGGATTAATTCACGTTTGTGAAGTCCTCACCGTTCTTTGTTGCAGTCCTGAACTGAAATCGTCCCGCTGAAGTTTTTCTTCCACTTCCCAGTCAAGTTCTCGTCTTCAGACTTGCTGTTTTAATTTCCCTCTGCCTCTCTTTTCACTGTCCAGAGACCCGACTGGAGCTCCCCCTCTTTTCTCATCTGTCCAGTTTTTGGTGGTGCTCCTGGTTGTAGTCTTCCTCTTGCCAGTTTCACTCTTTCTCTACCTCCTTCGGGCTGAAATAGCAACTTTCTACAAGTCAGGAGTAAGGATAGCCAAGCCAGTAGTGTTTGCATTTGGCACAGTGGTAAGCTATCAAAACACCTCACGTGTTTTATCTCATCTTCTTTACTCTCGTCTTCTGTTTCCCTCTGTGTGTCTGAAAAGGAATAGGTCAAACAAATTGTCTTGTGTCTAAAATGTCAGAGATGTTCATCCGGTCTCTTACCCGTCACATCAGTTCAACATTTTCCCTTCATTAGTTAAGCTCGGTCTGTACAATATTAGCTGACAGCGGAAGAGCTCTGGGAACTACATGTTCCTATTTTGATGGACTCTATAATTCCCCCTCTCTAACACACCTCGCTTCTTTCAATCCGTCTTTCTCGTTTTTCCTCAATTTTCCAGCTGTCTGACCTGGGCTTGGCGTGCTCCTCGTTCAGTGTCTGTCAAACCGTTTCATCCCCAGTGAACACTAAGTGGCTCTGGCTCCACCAGTCAGTCTCCTCTGCAGCTACTTGGGCTGATTTTCCCAGGCTCAGCGTAGCTCTGTGTGTGTGCGTGCGTGCGTGTGCGTGTGTGTGTGTGCGTGTGTGTGTGTGCGTGTGTGTGTGTGTGTGTGTGTGTGTGTGTGTGTGTGTGTGTGTGTGTGTGTGTGTGTGTGTGTGTGTGTGTGTGTGTGTCTGCCCACCCGTTGCCCCCTCTGTCTGTTCCCTTCATCCAGATTGACCTCAGGGTCTGTTGGTTTGGGACAGCTTGTTTGTCGGTACGATAACTAAATCTACCTCACAGGGTAGTCCTTAGCTCTGCCCCACGATAGCCCACCAACAGGGTTTAGATGGTAAAATGTTACCCCACATTTTTTTACAAATGTGTTTGTCTTCAAAAGTTACCCTTCTTATATTTTGATGCTCGTAATTTCTTCTTCTTTTCTGCGGTTCTGGAGAATCGCCAGCACGTTCATGTCTTCAGCTTCATGCTACAATTGCAGATTGTCACTTTTCCAACGTGTCACTTTATTAAAGTTTCACTTGACCTTGGATTCATATTTTTATCCAACTTCATGTTTTGTCGACTTCTCGTTTGTCTTTTTTCTTTCTCAGTGATTCTGTCAAACTAGCGGCACCTATCTCAGCGTGCTTCTGAGAAAAGGCCAGATTTATAAAAATAAAATGTTTAAGTTACTAAGTTTTACTTTAAGCTTGTGAAGAGACCCAGTTAGTGCCGTAGTCTTCCGCTTGTGCTGACCATGTTTACGCAGCTCTAGAGGCTCTCGGGGCCCATGTGTCACGGATGGCCCCGCTGGCTTCTGTTCCCGTTGACTTGGCTGGGAAATGACTCATTTTAAACTCCTTGTTGTGTCTCTTCTGTTGTCATAGTAACAAAATGGAGCTATTGTGTGTCTGCTCATTTATTTGATTGTGAGGGTATGGCAAGTCAGCATGCTCATTTTCTTGTCTGCTGACCTTACTGTTAAGTACGTCTCCGGACTGGAGAGGCTGTTTTACGAACTTAATTTTGTTTTTGTGTTTCCTGCATTTGTCTGCATTATTTTTTATTATCTGTGCTTTCTCTCCTAGTGGTTATCCATGGGATTTGGTTCTATGATAAGCAGGACTGTCGGCGCATTGCTCAGAGAATGGAGATGTAAGTTCGTAAAAACTGTGGAATGATGTATTTACAAAAGAAAAATCCTATTTTAATGTGTGGCCATATTTCTGTACCAGAACTAGTTTATTATAGGAAACATGTTAGGTTTATTTTGAACTCTGAAGCTTAGAGACGAGAAGTCCAAGCATCACATTTGTAACACATTTATTTTAAAACGGTGATGGATTCTTTGTCCAGTTTGACTCATCAGGAGCAGGTCCTCGCTCAGTCTCAAGGCGGATGGTTGTCTCCTGGAGGGGCAGGAGGAGGAGGAGTTGTTGGTGGAGGAGGAAGAGGAAGCAATCAGGCAAAGGGAGTGGACATCATCCAGATGCTGACCATTGCACGCTCAGAGTACGACAAAGTATGGGACAATGAAGTCGTTTTGACTCCTAAGATACAGATTTTGTTGTCTAAAAATGTTTTTATGTCTCTTTATTTTCTGATAAGTCCACCTCGGAGCCGAAGGAGATCGGTGGCAGCAGTGTTTTGAGTGGAAACCCTAATCTGATCAAACCAATACCAGTTAAGCCCAACACTCAGGTACAGCTTACAACCCCTGCTGCTGCTAATTTAACCTTTCTGTTTGTTATCTCATACCCTCTTGTTTCTTCTCATCCAGAACAGCGAGGCTACGGAGCCCAGGACTCTCTCCTTAGCCACACTGTTTGGCTCCCAGCATCACCACTCACCTAAATCCGACCCCGCCCCTCCTGTGACTGCACCTACATCCACAGGAAAGGTGGCGCGCCCACCTGTAGCCCGCACACTGACCTACGACGATGCTGTAAACTCTGGCAGGAATGCGACCTCGTCTTCAACAAATGCTGCCGTCCCTGGGAGCTCAGAGGGAGGAGTCATGCCGTTGGTTGGGGAAGAGAGTGGAAGAGTTATAGGTCCGCCGCAGATTCCCACCGTCGCTCATCAGAACCAGCATCAACACTGTCCAGCCATCGCAAAGCTCATGCAGGGACAGAGGGGAGCTGCAGGTGTTGGTGGCGTTCTCCACACCGTGCCAGAGTCCCCAGAGATGCCAGAGTCCCCAGAGAACCGTCTGTGTGACAACGGGGTGCCGCTTGAACATCACCTCCACCATCACCATCCGTACCACCACCATCATCACGAGCCCCAGTCCTATCCCCATCAGCACCAGCCAGACCCAATTAAAAGACTTTTGCAAACGCAGCCCGCCCCTCTGCTTGCCACCTCCTCCCATTGTTGCTCCAACACACGTCCTCATCTACAACAGAGCCCTCTTCTCTCCTCTCAGCCTGGAACGGTGGAGTCTGTAGCATGTTCAAATCTCCAAGCACAACAAAACCATCAGGTTTTATTCAGCCTCGCTAAATGTCAGACAGAAACACAGAGCCAGACATCTGCAGTGGGAACAGGTGTGAATCTTATTTTAGTATTCTCTGTCTAGTTTGTCTTTGTGTGCCCTAAAACAAACTCCCCTAATGCTCTTTCACCAGGTCCGTCCCCTCAGATGCAAGGTGTGGTGTCGCCTCACGAGCTCCTCCAAAAGCTCCAGCTGGTCCAGCAGGAACAGAACCTGCCCTCTCACGATCTTCACCGGCCCTTCCCAGCACTGGCACCTCATTTCCAGGGGTCCAGTCAGGAACGGGAAGCAGCCTCTTTAGGGCAGATACCACCCACACCATCAACTGGTCAAAAGGCTGCCCTGCAGTTTCAGGTAAGATGCCCCGCATGCAGACAGAAGTGGTGATGCAGCCCAGCACAGCAGACGTTTAACAAACCTTCAACATGTTTTTGTGACTGGATGCACTCTAATGCATTGTTACTTTTTAACTGTCAGTCTGTTGTTATAACAATTCTTTTTACCTTCATGCTGCCAACAGTAAACACCAGAGACCGGTTTGGTTGTGATAAGTGTCTTTGTGTGTGCAGGTCATCTCTCCTCAGCGGATACCTGCCACAGTGGCCCCCACTATGCTCCTCTCTCCCAGTGTGTTCGCCCAGACAAAGTCTAGTGGCGGCTTTCCAGCCATCTCTGCAGAGAGCTGCCCCGCACCTGCAGCCCGGTCCAGACCCCTGTTGCAGGAGGAAAGAGCCCTTTCTAAAAGCCAGCTTCAGGCAGCACTGCTTCATCTGATCCAGGTAGGAACTGTTGCTGACCAACTTTGTATCCGTGGCTGAATATTCTAGTCATCACACATCATTTTTGACAGCAGACATAAAAATGCAGGGCTAAGTTGCTCGCTTGCTATGTTTCAGACTGACGGCTCATTCCTGGACTCCATCTATGAAGCATACGTCAGCCGCTTTGCAAACGGCTCCAGCAGCAAGTACTGATGACTCGTCACACCCGCCCCCTGCCCAAAGTCTTACTCTGACAGTTTAACACTTCCTCCTGCAAATCACACACTTTGCATCTCCTCTGCGCTGTGTGGACAGTGAGTCTGACTCGGATCACTTCAAGCCACTCTATGTGCAAAACATACAAAAATGAACCGGTATCAGAAACGTTGTACATATCAAAATTAGATTAACAGCAAGCTGCACGCATTTTTCAGCTCATGTGTAGCAAGATTTGTACTTCCTGTCTTAAAGGAGTTTATTTTTTTCGCACCAGCCAGCTTACTGAGCTCTGAAACAACAACAGGTTTTAAGACATTTAAAATGTGATTTGAAGTATTTTACATTTTTATAATTCCTTCATTGGGGATCTTTATTTTGGAATGCTGTCACCTTAAATGTCTTCATTTTGCAAGCAAAAAGTTAGCACGCTGAGGATGAGCAACTCTCCAGAAAAATATATTTTTTCATAGTTAATTTTTGCAAATGGGATTTTTGTTTTTCAGTGCACTTTGTAACTCAGCAAGTTTGACTCTTGTTCATCCAATTTTAATTGCTAGAAGATAAAAACATGAAAGAAATGCAATCAAACTTGAAAATGACAGGAAACTGTTAAACTGCACTACCTCACAGGAAGCTAAATCTGGTTTTATGGCCATATTCATTAAATCTATTTATCATTGCTCAAACGTTTTTAAACACACTTAAATACCACTCGTTTATTTTTTATTTTTTTTGTTATTCACTGGGATTTTTTCATGTTACAGATTCAAGAAGGGTAAAAAACAAATTCATACAAATTACAGGAACTCTGCTTTAAAAAGCAGGTAACTACAAGAGTATTTGGTGTTCTCAGTGATCAGACAGAACACTTAGACTGAAGGGACTCTTCAGAGCACTGTTAAAACTAAACGCTCACTACAAACTCACATTTTTTCACTCTGAGCCTCAGCGTGTCGTTCTGCAGCTCAGCAGCAGTGGTCTGCATTTGCTTTTAAACTTGTACTTATCCAGTCTAAACAGTAGCAGTCAGGCTAAAGCAGAAGATGTTTATCAAAAAGATTATTTTTGTACTGTGGAAGGAAAACATGAACCTAATTCTCCAAATGCAAACAGCCAGCATGTTGCAGCAGAATATAAAGCCACAATTTTAATGAAACGCCATGATTTAGCAAGTTATGTGTTTATATTTTCGATTGTTGTGACAATGTTGTTTTACATGAATGATAATCTAATTGTCATTAGAATATAAATTGAATTGTTTCCACAGAAGGTCCTTCTTGTCTGGAATGTTTACTGTTAAACTGAAATAAATATTTTCATTGGCTAATAAACGTTCCACTCCAGTTTCAGGTTTTTCTGTTGGGATGAGTCGGTTTTATGATTATTATTCTTTAGTACAGATGGAGCCACAAGTTACACTAATCACTAAAACGGTGCTCCCGTTATTGCTTTAATGTCACTTAATTGCCCCGTTTTAAAGCGATCAATAGTAATGTCCACAGTGATTAATCAGCGGTTTTTACACACCGCCAACCAAGTGTTAGTTTCTCCTGTGGTAAACTGCTCTCTGTGTTTATCAGGAGGAGTGTTGACCTTATCGTGTGAATGATTGTAATCTTGGACAGATTTAACAAAACAGTCTCCTTAAAAGGCCCAATTAGGTTGCTTTTGTGAGTCACATGACCCCATGCTGCAAATATTGACCTAATATTCTATAAAGAGCACAGGATCTAAACATCTCAAGTCAGAGGCACCGTGCCGTGTTTATGTGCCTGACTTTTAAGCTAGCAAATAGACAAAATGGAAAGGCTAGTGTTTTTATTTTTAATTATTATTTTTGATGGAACTCCAAGAAATAAATGTAATAATTAACATGACATGTCCCATGTTTAAGTTTCTTTTTGTCTCTCGTCTCGTCTTCCTCCGCTTATCCGGGTCCGGGTCACGGGGGCAGCATCCCAACTAGGGAGCTCCAGACCGTCCTCTCCCCGGCCACCTCCACCAGCTCCTCCGGCAGGACCCCAAGGCGTTCCCGGACCAGATTGGAGATGTAACCTCTCCAACGTGTCTTGGGTCGACCCGGGGGGCCTCCTGCCGGCAGGACATGCCCGAAACACCTCCCCAGGGAGGCGTCCAGGAGGCATCCTGACCAGATGCCCAAACCACCTCAACTGGCTCCTTTCAATCCGGAGGAGCAGCAGTTCTACTCCGAGTCCCTCCCGAATGTCCGAGCTCCTCACCCTATCTCCAAGGCTGAGCCCGGCCACCCTACGGAGGAAACTCATTTTGGCCGCTTGTATCCGCGATCTCGTTCTTTCGGTCATTACCCAAAGCTCATGACCATAGGTGAGGATTGGGACGTAGATCGACCGGTAAATCGAGAGCCTGGCTTTCTGGCTCAGCTCCCTCTTCACCACGACAGATCGACTCAGCGTCCGCATCACTGCAGACGCTGAACCAATCCGCCGGTCGAGTTTCTTTTTGTCTTTAGTTTAATTGTTACATGGGTCCCTTTATTAACATTACCTACTAAGCATTAATAAACTATTAAAGTAACAACATCTTAATGATAAAATCAAGTAATGCATTACTAAGCAGACACCACCCCTTGCCCTTTATTAACAAATCTATCCTTTGTTTATTAATGTTTAATAATGCACCAAGTAACGCTAATAAAGGGACCCGTGTTGTAAAGTGTTTCTGTTACGTTTTTACAAATATTTCACTATAAAGTAGTCCGCAACAGCTGGGAACTCCAACATGGTTGTGTGATATTTGTTTTTTTGAATATTGAGATTTCTCGGCCTCTACTTGCCTTCCTTCCTTCCTGCTTCCTCTCCATAATTAACATCAACATTAGCTTTTACTGTTTTAGGTTCTTTCAAACAAAGCCAGCCTAAAGTCAATTTAGAAAAAGACAAAATGTGAATAATATGTGCAAACAAAGTGGAATGTGCAAAGTTTGTCGTGAACAGAAATAATATATATACTATATTAATATATATAGTCAAATATTTACAAATCCTGTAAACATTTTTGCTTTTTACAAAAGCTTTTCTCTGAGGTGAGGAGGTTCCAGATCATTGGTTTAGCTGATGGAGCTAAAAGTAAAGGCTGACTATTAGCGCTGGCCTGGAGTAATCGATGACTTCTGGTGTGTGTGTGTGTGTGTCCATGCCCACAGAGGCAGATTCCAGCCCACTTGTGTATTTTCAGATGGAAGGTCCCCTTCAGCTCTCCACTCTTAACAGTTTTACTAACAACTGTCCAGATTTGTATTGTGTTCCAGATTTCCTAGAAGTTTTCAACATTTCTGAGCAGAATCCTTGCGATCAGTCTCAGACGGAGGAGCTCCTCATGGAAAACACAAGTTGGGACTATAAATAACAAACTCTGCAGGACAAAAGGTGAGTGGTAGATATTATACATACATATGTATATAATACTAGTTAGTGTTTCAACTGTCTGTCATCAGACTGTCTGCAGCATTATTGCTTTATGTTTACTTGCTGATTGTTTCCTTGCATTTTAATTTCCATAACAGCTCAAGCAGATGTGTTATTGTGTGCAAGCTTGCTTGTTTTTCACTAGCAGTTTGTTGAATTGGTGCATGTTAGCTGAATTTACTGGCTGCTGTACAGATGTTCATGTACCAGTTTTCTGGTTTTTATATATGCAACACTGTTTAGCAGCAGACATTGTGAAATGGAAAATTTTATGTTTTATTTGTCATGTAGTGCCCAGATCATCGTTGCAATGAGAATGGGTTCTCAACCGACTCATCTGGTTAAATAAAGGTTAAATCAAATGTAATGGATACGATGGGATCTGTATGACTGACTATTTTATAAGTTTAATGTTTGAGTTTGGAACTGAAGCCCGTGGTTTTTAACACTGCTGAACCAAGAAGAATCTGCAAGAACTTTAAGTTTGAATTCATTAATTTAAAAATGCTCCTAAAATTGTGAAACTTCACATGAAAACTCTACTAATCAAACATAGAAAATGAAATGAATACCACATGTATCTGTTATTTACCGTTTTGCTTTGAATAAAAACAATCTACAAAATATCTAAAAAATAGAGCCAAAGCGTGGGATCTTTTAATTATTTCATCTTTGTAGAAACGTTTCCACTTTGTGAGCTGATGAAGTGGCGTGTGTGTGTGTCTGTGGCAGTGAATGCCCACTAGGTGTCTCTCTCTCTCTCTGTGTGTGTGTGTGTGTGTGTGTGTGTGTGTGTGTGTGTGTGTGTGTGTGTGTGTGTGTGTGTGTGTGTGCTGCAGATGCTCTTCCTCCTCCAATCACAGCACAACAAAAAAATCATCCAACTATAACTTTATGTTCCTTCCTTCTCTCTTGATATCATTCTCATCATTGCTTCTACCAGTTTTCGTTTTCTACTGGTGTTCAAGATAGGAAGACTAAACTGACAGAGACTAAGTAATGCTGGGTTGGAGAAAACGGGACTGGAAAGAATAATAAAAAATAAAAATACATGGAAAACAACACAAATAGAAAAGAACAAACGTCAGAAAAGCAACAGAAGATAAAAACGAGGGATCAGGGTTGTGTTTGTAAAATGTAAGAGGGGTGGGGAGAGAGAGAAAGGAGGGATGATGGGAGGAGGAGTTTAATCCTGTCTGGATTATGGTATAAAGTGGTAGAGAAGCAGAGGAGGAGATACTCCACAGAGAGAGGAAGTCCCACAAACCATTCATCAATCCATCATCTTACTTTCTGCATTTTCTTTTTGTTCTGGTTTTTCTTTTGGAACTGAGAGGGTCAGAGGGAGCAGCAAGGAAAATCTAATCTTTTTCAAGGGGATGTGAAGAATGTGTTTTTGCTTTTCTGGACATGTGTCAGAAGAGGACTGATGGTCTATGACTTTCCAAAACCTTTTTTAACACTTTCCTGCTGGATCCAAGAGGGAAAACATGGAAGAAAGAAGCAGATTATGGAAGTGAAAGAAATCAGAGACCGAGTCCAGTTGAAGGAGGTGTAGGATGGCAGGACTCCACCGTGTCCCCCTGTTCGTAAAAGTGACCTTTGACACCCGAGACAAAAACTTTCCAGGCTTTTTCATGCTCCTGGATCCACAGCTCAGCTGACATCACATCATTCATTCAGTTCTTTTTTAATTCAAGATTTATCACCGTTCCAGACCAACACACCGGGTTATTAGTTTTGTGAACATGACCTAGTGAGTACCATCTTGTTCTGCCTGGAAATTTTCAGTTCCTCGTGTTTTTAATAATCTTTTTAATCTTGTATCATCTTCTTGTTTTATTGCTTTTCTTTGATTTACTGCTGAATTTCCCACTTTTCCCCCCACACACGTCTATTTTCACTTTCAATATCCTGCTAAAAGATTGTATTTTTAAACCAAACTCATTCGTGAATACATGTTTTTATTATGATGGGAATTACTATTCAGAAAACAAGGCTGGGTTGTAAAATGAATTTTGTTCCCTTTCCTTTTAGGATTGGTTGATTTTTATATTTTAGGTGTAAGCTTTACCTGCCAAGATCACCTTTTGTTTGTATTTTCTTCCGTACTTGTTTATTGTCATTTATAAGTAATAGCTACTCTCTAAGTCTAAAAACACTCAATAACTGCATAATCAAATGCCAGTGAGATGCTTAGCTACTTCCGCATACCTCCCAAACCTGGAGATATACACGTGGACCTCAGATGCAGAGGAAGCTCGAACAGAGCTAATAAAATTAAATAACTTCCACGTCTTTGTCAGAAATATGATTAAAAAAAGAACAGTAATACCGTTGTCTAATTAAACTGCCATTAGTAAAATACTTTGCAGAGTGAGCTAGCATTACTAGAAGAATGTTTCCCACCCCCAGGTGTGCAGAGACTTAAGCAATAATGGCAAAATGGATAAACATTTTTAGCAGAAACATGGCAACAGAAGATTGGTAATGCAATTCTTTAATTAAATTAATCATGTGTAGCATTGATAACAAAAATTCCTTTTTTTAGCTAAATTAGCAAAAACTGTCCAGTTAGCAGCTTAGTTGTGCCACTTACAAAGCTAATAAAGTAAAACATGTTTTTTTCAACAGTAATGGAGACTAAACAGAGTTAAAAATGTATAATAAACGACCTTCATTTGTTCATCGAAAAAAGAAAGGAAAAAAAAGAAACTGGCAAAAATATTTCAGTTTAATTTGGAGGGGAAAAGTTTCCGGTTAGCTACTTAGCTGTTTTAGCTTTCCTACCATAGTTTACAGATGGTGAACTCGGAGACTCAAACTGATAAAATGTTAGAAAATACCTTCATTTTTTATGCCAGAATGGTAATGATGCTATTAATTATTCATAAATAGCACAATGCTTTCTTGATAATTATCTGTTAGCTTAATTCTATTTAGCCTTTTTTAAGGAAAACTTTATTGATACTTTTTCACGTTACAGAGTTGTTTGATTCTAACTTTTGTAATATTTGTTATTTACGTTTCATGACTTATAAATGAGTTGGTTCACACAATAACCAATGTTCCCATTTTGGAACCGGATTGTCAACTTTTAATTCCTTTTTTGTCTTTGAGGCAGTTTGCAACATTTGCTGGACTGATGCAAATGGCAGCAGCTGCACAGATGAGCCGCTGGAGTATGGGAAAGGCTGGGAATGCCATCAAATCACACAGAAGTGGGCCATGTGGGCGGAGGCTGGTGGTGCTGATGTGGATTATCCTCTCCAGCTCACTGTGCCTGATGGTGGATGGGCAGATGAAGATCCCACCAGAAACGTGAGTACAGCTGCAGTAGAAAACTGACCAGATATTCAACCATCAGCCTATCATTATGCAAAACTCTTTCTGGTCAAAATTTTTTAATGTCAGTGTTTCCTCTTTCAAAATAAAAATTAATATTCTGCCATTCAGCTGTAAAAGCACCTATTCCTTGATTATGTTTACTATTTATTTAGGTTATTTCCGGTGTGCACCCTTCTGAGCAGCATTGTTCTTTAAACCATGCTATGATGGATGAGTCAGTGGCATTTTCCTGATTTGGCTGATTACTCAAGATGCATACTGTATGGGCCATCTGTTCACCTGTGGGCTTCAGCTTACTGCCAAACTCCCTTTTTGAGTTCAGTAAAGAGACGTTTGATGTATTAATCTGGCTAATTTACATTAGATTATTTACATTTTCTAGTTGGACGTTTATTACCTTACAGTGTTGGAAGCATATCAACAAAATATTTCAATGAAGTTAAAAAATTCTAATGTGTGTGTTTTTTTTTTTTACACAATATCTAACCTAACTAAGGTGAAGCTGAACTTCAATAAGACACTAATCTGAATCGTTCAGGTTCTGAATTTCATATTTATGTTTACTGGGGGGAAAAATCCCATCTCACCCTCCGCGGGTGGTCTCATTCTTCCAAACTTGTGTCCTCTACCAGAGACCTGGGAGCTTGAGGGTTCTGCGCAGTATCTGAGCTGTTCCTAGAACTGCGCTTATCTAGACCGAGATGTCGGATGTTTTTCCTGGGATCTGCTTTAGCCACTCCTCCAGTTTGGGGGTTACTGCCCTGAGTGCCCCAATGACCACGGGCACCACTGATGTCTTCACTCTCCAAACTTTCTCAAGTTCTTCTTTGTGGCCCTGGTACTTCTCCAGTTTCTCATGTTCCTTTTTCCTGATGTTACATCACTTGGTATTGCCACATCAACCACAACAACCATCCTCTGTTGTTTGTCCACCACCACAATATCTGGTTGGTTCGCCATCACCATTTTTCTTGTCTGGATCTGCCTCAGGAGCTTGGCTCACTGGTTCTCTACCACCGTGTTTCCTACTTTGACTTTGGGGCTTCCAGTCCATACTCTGCACAGATGTTTCTGTACACTATGCCATGTATGCTCTCCCTTCCAGCGTCTTACATCCTGCAGTTATGTGGTGGATTGTCTCAGGGAGCTCTTCGCATTGTCTACACCAGTGGTCCTCAATAGGCGGCCTGCGGACCCCCTCTTTGTGGCCCCCGAGCCCCACGCACGCTTCGTAGCTATACACTCTTGGGCCACTTTATTGGGTACACCTTGCTGGTACTGGGTTGGACCCCTTTTTGCCTTCAGAACTGCCTTAATTCTTTGTGGCGTAGATTCAACAAGGTACTGAAAACATTCCTCACAGATTTTGGTCCACATTGACATGACAGCATAACGCAGTTGCTGCAGATTTGTCGACTGCACATCCATGATGCAAATCTCCCGTTCCACCACATCCCAAAGGTGCTCTATTGGATTGAGATCTGGTGACTGTGAAGACCATTGTATACATTGAGTAAAGTGAACTCAATGTCTTGTTCAAGAAATCAGTCTGAGATGATTTGAGCTTTATGACACGGCACATTATCCTGCTGGAAGTAGCCATCAGAAGATGGGTACACTGGGGTCATAAGGGGATGGACATGGTCAGCAACATTACTCAGGCTGTGGTGATGCAACGATGATCAGTTAGTACTCTAAAGGGCCCAAAGTGTGCCAAGAAAATGTCCCCCACACCACCACCAGCCTGAACTGTTGATACAAGGCAGGATGGATCCATGCTTTTATGTTGTTGAAGCCAAATTCTGACCCTACCATCCGAACGTTGCAGCAGAAATCGAGTCTCGTCAGACCAGGATACATTTTCCAATCTTCTATTGTCCCTTTTTGGTGAGCCTGTGTGAATTGTAGCCTCAGTTTCCTGTTCTTAGCTGACAGGAGTGGCACCCGGTGTGATCTTCTGCTACTGTAGTCCATCTGCCTCAAGGTTCAACATGTTGTGCTTTCAGAGATGCTCTTCTGCATACCTTGGTTGTAACGAGTGGTATTTAAGTTACTGTTGCCTTTCTATCAACTCAAACCAGTCTGGCCATTTCCCCCCAACCTCTGGCATCAACAAGGCATTTTCACCTACAGAACTGCCTCTCGCTGGATGCTTTGCCTATTTCGGACCATTCTCTGTACACCCTAGAGACTGTTGTGTGTGACAATCCCAGAAGGTCAGCAGTTTCTGAAATACTCAGACCAGCCCGTCTAGCACCAACAATCATGCCATGTTAAAAGTCACTTCAAATCACCTCTCTTCCCCGTTCTGAAGCTCGGTTTGAACTGCAGCAGATCGTCTCAATCATGTCAACATGCCTAAATGCATTGAGTACGGGATGGGCTGTACATTGATTTTAAATGAATATTTGTATGACTCTTGAGTTTTAGTTTCACTTCTTAATCTTATTGAATTTGTGTGATATGTGCTCAGTTTCCCCCATTTAGACATTTTTATGTTGTACGTGTTTGCTTTTTCATCTTTTAACATCATTTAAATGTCCTGCTGAGCAAAAACATGAGAAGATCAATGAAGCCCTGTGAAACAGAGCTGATTCGTGTGTGTGTGTGTGTGTGTGTGTGTGTGTGTGATTGCACACACCTGAGAGAGATACAAGCAGTTATTCACAGATTATTAATCCTTCAGGATCTTCGTGTTTTTTATAAATATGAACTTTTCACTCAGGTCAGTAGATCGAATATTCATCTGCTTCAGAGCAGAAATTCGATGATGTTTTAGTCTCACTAAACTCCAAACACAACCGCACAGCTGGAGGGGTAAATGTGCTGCCTGTCAGCAGGCTAGTGTGACTGAGAATTAAAGCTCTGAGACGGCTGACTTTAGCAGGTCAGCACAGTTCACAGAACACAAAATTCATTACTCTGCTGGGGAAGATTTAGCAGCAGGGCCCGTGTTTCTCTGGGAGGCCAAGGCTGCAACATTTTAGGTCAGAAGGGTCAACTCTTTAGCTTCAACATCACTCTGCTGCCATGGCAACCGCCGCCCCGTCCTTTCACTATTTATCATTCTGCGTCTTCTTCTTATCATTTTCCTTAGTTTTTTTCATCAATACATCAATAAATTTTAGTTTATTTTTCATTTTTACTTATATCTTTGTTTTTTGCAAGGAAGGAAAAGTTGACCAAAGGAACGTCCTGATGTTCTGCAGTTGGGAGATGCAGATTCGAGTCCTGGCTACAGCCTTTTCTGTGTGGAGTTTGCATGTTCTCCTCATGCATGCCTGGGTTAGATCAGGAAAATGTTTCTACGAAATAATTAACAAATACATTTTTTTCACCAGTGCTTAATAAAAACTGCATCCAGGTTCTTGACACGTTTGTGTTGTTAGTATTGAACTTAATGTCATTTCCACCTAATAATTCTTCATGTGTGCAATCTGCTTAGAACAGCTGGCAATAGTAAAAATCAGCTTTTGTATTAATAGAAATGTCATCTGACCCTACTGCACACATTTGATTTTTCAATAATCACTAAATAAAAAGCCCAACAATCCTTTGGGTTTTGAACAGTGAAGCATTTGTTTACATATTTTAGGGCTCCCATGTTAGAGTGGACACTCTCATTTTGCACTGAACAGATCAACAAGTCGAACAAACAAACAGCCAGTCGTCAGTACTGATGCTGGCAGGCTGGCTGTGAGATCCCTGCCAGTGCTAACAGGGAGCTGGCTGACTCCCCATAGGTTGGGCCATCTGTCACATCCTGTCTACGCTTACTGCACCTCAGTTCCGTTCACATGGAGGGTTTCAGAATTACGGCATGTTATTAGGCACAAAATAAGTCCTTGGCCCGGTAGACAGCCACTTCCGCTGTCACCGTCACCGTGATCCATTAGGATCTGCTACTGATGAAAGAACGATTGTTTTGGTGTTGAAGGCAACTAACATGCAAAAAACATAAATGCATGCAGATAAAAACATCTGAACATATGGTAAATGGCTTGTATTTGTAACACGTTTACATGTGCAGTGGACATTTGCTGCTATAGTCTGTTGAGGATGGCGAGCACACTCACACACGTTGACCTATGCTGCAGGGTCTTTGTTTTGATGGATCGCAGCCTCCTGCTGCCAGAGGGAAGAGGCTGAAACAGGATGTGTCCTGGGTGGGAAGGGTTAGCTACAATCTGTCTTGCCTACCTTAAAGTTCTGGAGGTGTGCAGGTCTGGTATAGTGCAGGTTGTGGATTGGAGAATGCACCGGAGCCGTTTTTAGTCTTTGACGGTGGCTGTGGAGAAGTGAACCAGAATTTTCATTGTCAGGTTGCATGTGAGCAACTGCTTCAGAAAAAACAACAACCTATGTTGTGCTTTTTTGACAAATGAGGTTATGTTATGTTCCCCCCTGATGTGAGCTGTCAAAGTGCTTTCATGATTTCATGGTTTCAATGACAGTGTCTCTCAATGTATACAATGGTCTTCACAGTCACCAGATCTCAATCCAGTGGAGCACCTTTGGGATGTAGTGGAACGGGAGATTCACATCATGAATGTGCAGCTGACAAATCTGCAGCAACCGTGTGATGCTGTCATGTCAATATGGACCAGAGTCTCTGCTGTTATTACGTGCAGCTCATGGCAAGGCAAAGGAGCTTTATTTTATAGCACATTTCATACACAGAAGCAATTCAGTATGCTCTCCAGGAGCAAGAACAGCAAGAATTTAAAAGATTACAATCAACATGACAACACTAAACAGCAGATTTTAAAATCTAATTTAAAATACACAAATAAAATTAGAGTTAAGAATAAGATAAAAAGGCAGTGCAGAAGGTGCAGCATAAGAAACATTCATTCAAAGGCTAATGAATACATGACAGGTTTCAATTTTGATTTAAAAGTTAGAGTCAGGGCACATTTGAGGTCAAAAGGAAGCGGATTCCTTCAGTGCTACGATTAAAACACAACCTGACACCAAAATAAAAGCAGTTTGCCCCTTAAATAATGAAATAACAATGAATACAAATTATTTTTATAATATTTGGTTCGCTTTTGATCACAGTGTGTAATGCCAGCATTCCCCACTGTTAAATGAAGAAAATGGTTTTATTTTGATAGTGGGTTGGCTAATTAGCATTTTGACGGATTTTGAAGTCTGAAGAAAAATAACAACAAAAACTAAATGCACAGCAAATTTTACAAGTTGCACTGAGTTATTTACACTTCGGGCAACTTTGTATTTTTTTATTTGTATTTCTGATATAAACCTCTGCAGTTATGAGCTTCCTCCTCAGCCGTTCAAAGCATAACGGTTTGCGACGCAATGCATTGTGGGATGCCTTGCTGGCCAAATCCACAGAAGGATGCATCTAATGCACCCTTGGTGTAACAGGCAGAGCAAGAACAATCCGGGAACTCTGAGCATACTTGCATGAAAGTGTTCTAGGAACGGAACAGTACTTGGGCCAATATTGGTGACATTTCACAAGGAAGTGAGTACACGTGTACAGACAAGTACGCATATTGAGAAACAGCCCCGGTTTTGTTCTGACTCATGGTTCTACCAGCTGACTCTTTCCTGAGGATCTCAGCCCTGCTGGGTGCATATACTGCAAGGAGATCCAAAGTGTATTTTGGTCCCACACCGTTGAGTGATTTCTAAACTAAACTAAATGAAGCACTTTGAAATTGATACTGGTAATCAGTGTCGCGATTAAAGAACCTGGCAGATGTGCTCGGTTCTCTTGGTTCTTGTTAAGACTAGCAGCATTCTGAATTAACCGCCTCACAGTTTTTTTTTGGGAAGACCAGCCAAGAGACCACTGCAGTAGTCCAGTCTGCTGGAGATGAACACATGAATGAGTTTCTCTAGATCTGGTCTGGACACAAGACCTCTGATTCTTGCTGTTTGATGGAGATGAAAAAATGCTGATGCCTTAATGTGACCGGTGAAGCTCAGATCTGAGTCAATTAGGACACCAAGATTTCTAACCTTTGTCTTAATTCCTCTGGAGCCAAGTTTAACAACAACCTCCATCCTATCCCTCTTATTTCTGAAGACAATAACTTCAGTCTGTATTTGTTTAACTGAAGGAAGTCTGACTGCATAAACACCGTATCTTTGGGATGTCATCAAGTTGTTTGTTTTTCCATCAGTAGCATCCAGTGATGTTTTCTCTGTTTCCAGTGTGCAGCAGTGGGCCGTCTCATTTGGAAAAGAGATGGCTGCGTTGTCCACGAGATACTCTGGAGCTAAACTTTTACAAAAGGTCAGTCATCATCACACACTCCCACCAACGTTGATTAAATTCAGGATTTTAGCAGAAAATGGTTGCCAGTATTTATAATGTCTGCTGCTACCGCTAAGCTAAAGGAGAAGTGTTTCTTTTCTCCACATTTTTGATGTAAACGTAAAATGATTCACAATTTGCTTATTCATGTTTATTACTTAAACTTTTTTTACACTACTGAGTTGCGTGCATTAGCTGTTCAACATCTGCATGAGGCCCACAGCCAATCTGGTGACATGGTTACCCCAAACACCATCCAGATATGTCTTTTAGTAATTAGTACGTGCAATCCTTCTCTGCATGCTACCCTGCAGAATCCCCAGCAGGCCTTTTCACCATCTGCTATGATCAAATCGTGTCTTTGCAGAAGAATTACACAATTTGTTCTGTGCAATGCATGATACATTTTTACCTCCATGTGCTGTAAAAATGAATCTGATGTCTAGATTTAGATGCTTCCTTTAAAAGTATTTTTACTGGTTTTCTAGGTATTAGGTTGGTTTTGATTAATGTTATTGAGCTTATTGTGACGCTTATCTTTTCATGAAGCTGCAAGTGCTTAAAAAACTGTTTATTAAATACATTTTTAAGCAAGAACTGATCAATCACCAGCTTTTCTAATTAAAGGTGTTTTAGTTAAATGTTTGACTCTGCCTCATTCTTTGTGCAGTATTAGTGAGTTTCTGTTTGATGATTGTAAAATATTTAGGGTTTTATTTTTTATTTTGAGTCAACAAAAAGCTTTTGATAACCCTTTCACTTCTATTTGCTAGTTTTCTTTGTGTGGTTCCAGTGAAAGATGAATTAAAAGCGATTAAATGATAAATTGGGTAACTTTTTTGGCAAAGTTTCATAAAAAAAATCTGCTTTTTAAACTTTTTGCTGAATTTTGAACTTTTTGTTTAAAATACAACAGTGATGGAAATGTGAATAAACACATTTTCACATTTGACAAGAAATCAGATTTTGAGTTAAATTACAAAAAGAGGCTAACACAAGAAAGTCCCATAATGACTATTGAAGCACTCGCATGTGATATTTGTCATTAGCCATGCTAACATGTCTAAAAGCTAACGTTGGCACAGGCTAAGCAGACAGTTTAACAAAAACAAGGAGAGGTTTTACTTTAAACAAGGAAATACAACATCGGTGTTCTTTTCATTGATCTGAATCAAAAGAAATCATATTCTTGTAAAAGTTGTTGAGCTGTTTGAGAGCAGCTGAACAAAAGTGACAGCTGCGTGCAGCCAGAAAATCATTCTGTAACCGCTTTAATGCAAAAACCTTAGAAAGCATTTTGATCAATCTGTAGATACATATTATTGAGTTTGTGTTTGTTTTGTCTCATGAACGATCATTTTCTTTACTCTTGAATGCAGAAATCACAAGAAAAAAAGAGAAGAAAGATCTTACTCCAATCAATTTTTAAAAGACACTTTTTCTTTCGTAACAGCAGACCAACATTTATTTGGTTTCAGTGTGACCTAAAATTTGTTTTGCTAACGTGCTGAAATAGCAAGTGAGCTGAGCTTGAGTGATTTGTTTAAATATTTTTCTGTTTTGAAGAAATACAAAGACGTTGAGGGCGTGGTGAAGATAGAGGAGGTAAACGGTGAAGAGCTGGTGAAGAAGTTTGCCGAGGAAATGGAAGAGATGCTTGGGAGGAAAATGAAATCTGTAAAGGTGATCTGTAATTACCCATATCATGTTCAAATATGCTTTTGTGTTCAAGTTTAATTAATGTTTATCATACCCTTAATAGAAAGCTTCTCGAATAGCCTCTATTTGGAGAAATAGAGGTTAGCCTCTTCAGCACTGATGCACTAAGGCACGGCCAAAGCCGGAGTGTAACGTTGATGTTTTGATATAGCACCAACCTTCAAACTCATATAACAATTCATAGGTTTTATAAACCTTTACACCACTGTCATTTCGACAGCACACAGATGTTTACGTCAAATCCAAAATTAAGTTTTACCTGCAATGACAAAACTCCAGATTGCTGTTTTAAGACCTAATCAGATCATAAAAATGTTAGATAATTCAGCACCGCGTACGCTGTAGAGGACATTTCAATGCTGTCTTTACCACATGTTTTGTAACAGAGGTTAGCAGAAGCAGCAGAAGATGCTGACCTTGACCACGAGTACAACGAAACATTAGAGGTAAGTGATTATGTGTTTGTAGGAACCCTGCAACATACAGTTTGTATGTTCATGCGTTCTTTATTTTTTCCCTTCAGTTTGACTACTACAACTCCCTGTTAATCAACAAAGTGGACGAGGATGGGAATCCTGTGCCGCTTGGTGGAGAATTCCCCTTGGAGCAAAATGAACATTTCAATAAACTGCCAGTCAACACACAGCAAAGCAACATACAAGTTCCCACTAATGTCTACAATCAACGTAAAATAAACATTAAACACTCGATGTTGCCGTCAAATTCACTATACTTTAGGGAAAATACCTATTTTTTCTCTTCCTGTTGGTTCTGCAGACACAGATATTCTGAATGGAGTCTACATGTCTGAGGCCCTGAATGACATTTTTATTGAGAACTTCCAAAAGGATCCCACTCTTACCTGGCAGTACTTTGGCAGCTCCACGGGCTTCTTCAGGCTTTATCCAGGTATGATTTTGATGCTTGATGATATTTTGATCAGATCTCTTAGGATGACATGTTGGGCTGCAGATACTTTTCAACTTACCAAATTCAGCCTGAGTGTAAATCTGACCACAGCTCAATGCTAGTGTGTATGATTATGTGAAACATATCAGAGCTATTCCTTTTTCCCTGCAGGAATCCAGTGGACTCCAGATGAAAACGGTGTGGTCACATTTGACTGTAGAAACAGAAACTGGTAAGGCAGCTGATGCCAGCCCTTATTTTTATGGCTTTATGAAAAGCCTTCCTTTATCAGCGACTGTTTGACAAATGCATGGTTTCGAATTAGCAGCAGAGACCGATTAGCTACTCAGCTCCATAAATGAGACTTTTACTACTTGTTCACTTTGCTGAATATCCTAAAATGCACTTCTAAGACAGTCTGGAAAGCTATCCTGTACATGCATACAGGGAGCCTAAGTCACTTCTGCACCATGGGTTCCTGGAAGAACAAAAAAATGAATGCAAGTCAATGGGGTGAAAAACGCTATTTTCTAATTCAATTCAATTCAATTCAACAATACTTTATTAATCCCAGAGGGAAATTAGATTCCGCTTGTTTTGTGCCATGGATTTCACATATGATGTCCGTGAATTTTAAAGACACATTTTGATACCAAGAGCACGCTTATTTTCGAACAGAGGATACGTTATTTTTGGTTTTGTGCGAAAATAAGTCCATAACTACAAATGCGCCCCACGAAAGTGACGCCATCGAACCAGACACGGAGAAAACTGAGGAAATAGGGCTGTAAGTTCAGCAAACTTCCCACAGGAGGAAATAACCACCATAAATCTGGTCATGTGGTAAGTAGCAGCTACTTTGGGGAGAGGAGATCATGTGGTGACGTCACATATGCGACATGCCGATTTCTAGTTTGTAGTCATGCTAATTATGAACTTTTACAAGCTGATAAATCTCAAAGTACGTGACTGGCGTGGCCAAAACACCGATCATTACTTTTCATTTAAACTGTAGTACAACATATGTGTGATCCAGGGTCTAAGTCAAAGCAGATTAGAAAATAGCGTTTTTAGCCCCGTTGACTTGCATTCATTTTTTCGTTCTTCCGGGGATCCGTGAGCCGGAAGTAGATTTAGGCTCCCTATAATCCAGCTCGACCCAGATACCTCGACAATGGGTAGGCTACTTTTGTCTCTCAATCTATAGAATATTTTCCCAAATCTTGGGAATTATCACCATGTGTTTAAGCCAATGTGATAAAAACAAGTGCGTTATTCCATTTTTGGTTCTTTTTTAAAACACAGAAAAGGTTTCTCTTTACCTTGCTGACAGTTTCATTTGTGGCTGCAAACATCCTCAGAGCTGACGCTGATGGTGGCGTCACTTCCTACTCCGTTTATCCACGGGCAGCAGAGGACATTGTTGCCCTCTGCTGCCCGCTCTCCCCTCTCCGATGATGCAGTCCCATGCGCCCAATTGTGTTATTTCTGGTTAGCAGAGACTTAGGTCTCAGAGCTCTTCCATGGGTTACTTGTTCCCACTTACTTTACAAGACTATTCAGTCATGAACCTGCAGTGATTTAGGATTATTTAGTCCTTACATTTCTTAAGAATATGTAATGCTGTGTTTTTTTTTTCAGATCTCTTAGCTGATCTCATGTTGTCACTCTGGTTTTATTAAAGGGGTTTCCTCATTTTACAGCTTTAACAGTAATGATGTCTGAGTGTGGCTGGTGAAACTGGGCTCAGCTTTCTAAATTATGATCTCAGATAATTGACGATTAACAAGAGGCACAGTAACATTTTTGTACAAGGCTAGGTTGGTTTGGATCTATATTTCTTTCCTTACTAAATGAAATCATCATTTGAAAACTGCACTTGTATTTACTTTTGATAAATGACCCGCACTTATATAGCGCCCCTCAGAGTAAGGACTCCAAAGCGCTTTACACTACAGTGTATCATTCATCCATTCACACACACATTCACACACTGGTGGTGATGAGCTATGATGTAGCCACAGCTGCCCTGGGGCGCACTGACAGAGGCGAGGCTGCCGAGCACTGGCGCCACCAGTCCCTCCGACCACCACCAGCAGGCAACGTGGGTTAAGTGTCTTGCCCAAGGACACAACAGCAGAATTCTCTGTCCAGAGCCGGGATCGAACCTGCAACCTTCCGATTACTGGACAACCCGCTCAACCTGTTGAGCTACTGCTGCCCCAATGTCCTAATGTCCAGAACATGTCCGGAAGAGGGGGATTAAGGGTTGAGATTGTCATTAAGCAGAGACAGACAGGCCTGCGTCAGCTCCTCTGGAAACATTTGCAACCAAACAAGCAGATCTTCCACTCTTATTAAGGCTTCCACTGCATGGTCACAACCTGTGTCCAAAACTATAGATTCAGTGTTAAAAGTGGCTCATACAAGGTTCTTTGTGTTAGCAGCTGTTCTTTAGAGTCTTAAGAAGCAGAAAAGGAGGTTCCAGGAAGGCTGTGTTCTTCTCAGGGAAACAGGAAAGTCTTGGAAAGCAGAAATTAAGTAGCTAAACGTCTAAGTTCCTGAAAGCTTCTGATCACAGCTGCTACAGGGGAAATCGCATTTATGCTAATGAGCTTAGAAACTCAGGGATGGCAATAAAGAGATGACAGGAAGCAGGAACAGAAGAACAGAGGAACAAATAAAAGGATCAAGCTTGCTCCTGTGTCTGTTCCTAGAATACAGGATCACATGACACATTAAGTTCAGTCCATGTGTTAGATAGACTTGCTGTTGCTTTCTGAGTGTAATTTGCCTTTCTGCGTGTTTTTAGGTACATTCAGGCAGCTACTTCTCCCAAAGATGTGATCATCGTCGTGGACGTCAGTGGCAGCATGAAGGGCCTCAGAATGACAATAGCAAAACACACAATCAATACAATCCTGGATACACTGGGAGAAAATGACTTTGTCAACATCATAGCTGTGAGTGTACACAGTTTCAACTCAGTTCAATTCAGTTTATTTATCCATCCATCCATTCGTTTTCAGCCGCTTTTCCAGAGTTGGGTCGCGGGGGCAGCAGCCTAAGCCCAGAGGCCAAGACTTCCCTCTCCCCAGCTAACTCTTTTCATACGCTTGTATCTGCTATTTCGTCACTACCCAAAGCTCGTGACCAAAGGTGAGGGTAGGAACGTAGATCGGCCAATAAATCTAGAGCTTTGCCTTCCGGCTCAGCTCTCTGTTCACCAGGACAGATTGGTACAACGCCTGCATCCCCGCAGAAGCAGTGCCAATTCGCTTATCGATCTTACGCTCCATTTTTCCCTCACTTGTGAACAAGCGAGATACTTAAACTCCTCCACTTGAGGTAGGACCTCGTCCCTGACTGTCACACAACCTCCCTCTCAGCCGTCAACCTCCTCTAGGGAGGCAACGCAGAGCCGCTCAGACTCCATTACCCAACATCCCCAGCGCCAGGCTTCCGTTTCACGTCACCCGCCAATTCTATATAAGGAAGTGCCGCACAACGTCGGCTCACTCAGTCATCGTTCTAACCGAACCTAACCTAGAGTCCAAACGAGATCAGCTCAGATCACGAGGCCTGTTCAGATCAGACCAGCCAGATCTCAGAATCCTGCCTGTTCGTACAGATCAGCTTCAGACCAGGAGTCGCCGTGTTCAGCTGTGTCACCATACAGCTGCGCACCCGGCTCCCAGATTAAACAGCGTGTCCATTCAACCCGGCGTCAGTCACTCCGCGCTTGGGTTAAAAGCCACGCCACATCCAAACTCTCGCCCAGCTCGAGTCATCCCGTTACACTGACCTGGAGATGTCATTCTACCCTTTTACAATTTTGGACCATGGTCTCGGATTTAGAGGAACTAGAAATACTGTCCAAAACAGATATGAACAGAATTATCAGTTTATTTATTTATTATTTATTTATTTATTTATTTATTTATTTATTTATTTATTTATTTATTTATTCACAGCACCAGTCATCTCAAGGCACTTTACAAAGTAAACCTTCCAAATGAACCGAGTTACCAGTGCACTGAGTTCCTACTGAAGGAAACCCAGCAGATTGCATCGACTCACTGACTTCACTTCACTGTCACGCAGTGCATTTATGTGGACATCAGAAAACTGAACTGTTGCCTTTAAATCTATTTAAAAAAATCTCTCCCATCCACTGCATTCCACTGTGGAGACCATGGACAGCTCCTTCAGAGGCAGACTGAGACATCCCAGATGAAAAACAGAATGCTACCATAGGTCATTCATCCCCTCTGCAGTGATAGTGTATATAACTCCTCAGTTTAAGCGGCACTGGCATTATCCTGGTACAAAATAACACCACTGCAATGTTCATAATGTGTTGAATACTCGTTCAATACCGGATTTACATTGTGTGTCTTTGTCTCTTGCAGTATGCTGCATATTGTTGGAACCCACGTTTTTTCCTTTTTCATTTGTGGTTTTTAGCGGTCGAAGTAATATGTACCTTTGTTATTATTTTTTCTTCAAATTATTCTCTTAAGTGTTTGTGCTTCTGTAACAAGCGAATTTCCCCACCGTGTGATCAATAAAATCTATTCTATTCTATTCTAAACACGTTAGTCTCGCTGAAGGCGAACAGGTTCTAATCGTGCTGAAGCACCAAGACAATATGGTGCGAAAATTACTTCATCTGCGTATTCTGTTAAGCTTAAAAGTCTTCCAACTGGGGGACGGGGCTGGGTTGAAAGGTTTGGCGGGGCAGGATATGGTCCCCAGGCTGGCAGTTGAGATTAACTGCTCTAGATTGACCTTGATTAACTTAGATGCGCATGTAAACACAATGAGTGACTTTACAGCAATCCCCATTCTAAGCAAGCATGTAGCGAGAGTGGAGAGGAAAACTCCCCTTCAACCCTCCCACTGTCCTAATGGGTGTGACCCTGCGAGGAAAGTTGACCATTGAGCAGGGTTGATGGTTTATCCCTTGGGTCCATGTGGCAGGGGTGAGGAGTGAGCACCACCTCACCCCTGCCACGTGGACCTCCAGTGGGAGGGTTAACAGGAAGAGACCTCCAACAGTACCTGGGTCAGTATGAGCAGCCATCTGCAGCGACTCACTGGGGATATGAGAAGAAAGATTAGACACACACACAAAAAAAGAGATGAACTAGTAGTAGCACTTTCTATGTTAAAGAGAGTAAAAAGGAGAGGGGGAATGTTCAGTGGATTGCACTAGTGGGCCAGCTTGTTTATGCACAAGTTAAATCTAACTCTTTTTGGCATGAGGACTATGTAAGGAATAAATGTAAATAAAAATGTCATCTTTTAGCTTTTATTCTGATTCGAAATGTCAAAGCAGGTTGATCATCAGGATTGGCCCATAACCTATGAAGATATCAATATTCTTATATATGAAATTCTAAAAAATTATTACTAGTTTACCAAAGTCTAAACAAGCTAAACACATATTTTATTATAAATATTACTCATGATGAGTCATTCTGACGTTGCTTGTTGGCTAAAATGTTTTGATTTCTCTCTCCAGTACAGTGACTATGTTCGGTACGTGGAGCCCTGTTTTAAAGGCATCCTTGTCCAGGCTGATCTGGATAACAGAGAGGTAACACACACACACACACTCACGTGTGCACGCACACGCACACACACACACAGCCAGACGCACACAGGCTCACAACTAATTAATACAATTAGCTTCTGCTGACCTATTCTGACTAATCACTTGATAAAGGTTCATGTGGTGCCTGAAACATCTCAGAGAAAGTGCTCTGTCAGGCAGCATTGTGTTACAGCTCCTGTTCATTATTTTCAGTCTGATTGTGAATATGTAATTGGCTCTTTTTTAATTTCAGACTCAAAATGACAGCTCCCTTTGCCATTAAAATAAACTATTATTCAGTTTGTGCAAGGACTGGGAAATATTGTTCATCTTTGTTTTTCCAGGTTATCACTTAATAATTAACAAAATACTCCCATTTAATTTATGTTAGCAAATATTGGCAATGTATTTTTTACTGTTTTAACACATATTTTGCATACATTTTTATATGATAATACCTATTATATTATTTTCTTTATATATATATATATATATATATATATATATATATATATATATATATATATATATATATATATATTCCTGTTAGAACAAGGCTACTGAGTCATTCTTTTTTCTACTACATAATCTTCTACACTCCAAACTATTTGTAATGGAAATGAAGGGTATTACAATTTAATTAATGACCAGAGATATTAATGATCCATACCTGGCATGGATCCCATCTCTGGACACTGGGCTTTTCTTGAATCAGAAGAGTGTTCTTTTGATTACAGGGAAATTTAAATTAAACACTTTGCATGAACTGAGAGACAAGAGAAGAGAGAGAGACCTCGGAACGTTTAAGAAAAATGTATTATCTAAATTATTTTAAACAATTAACAGGACTAACTCTAGTGATGGATGCGAATGCAATGTAATGAGGTGGAGTGTGTGTTGGTGCGATGTCAGTTCAGAACCTCCGTCTGGAGAAGCGAGTCTGAGTGGGAGATGTTGTTTTGCTCCTAACTGATCGACGTTTGAACTTTAGTCAGGAAAGACATGAGACGCTATGTGTGCCGTTTTACATTACCCGTCAGGGACTCCCGTGTTAGATCAGGCTGCCAGGTCCTCGGACCCTCCTTTGGTACTGGAGCCGATGAAACAGCGTCGACAGCACGACAAACCAGTCTATGGATAGTCTCCAGGTAAAATCGGCAGGTGTTTCACAGCGTCAAAGGGACCCCCCTTTGGGTCAGCGAGTTCAGCTTTTATTCTGAAGGAACCGTTGTTTTGGTAACAACGACAGGATTTTCCAGCTTGACAGTTCTCAGCTTAAAAGTAAAACGTACAGATGGCCAGTCCGTACTTCACTTAGCAATGATGGACATCAGATGATCGTGAGAGCTGGCTGAATACTGAACTCAAAATGGCGTTGTTCTGTTTTATTCATCTTGGTTGTTTACGATTCTGGACGAATCGCAGTAGACAGATTAAATAAACACCAAAGAGACTCTGCCACGCTTCAGAATGAAGGTTCTGATTGGATGAGTAAACAATGTGTCATGCGTTGACATTACGTGAATCAGGATGTCTAGTGCAGTCAGACCAAAGTCATATTACTCATTAAACATATTGATCATAGCATTGTGATTTCACAGATCGGTCACATGGTTATTATTGACTAACAGTTGTTTTGATTAGCTTTATTAAAATAGAGTTCTTTGATTAATTAAAAGAAAAGCGTTCTTCTTTCTTCTGTCTTCTTGCTGGAATGTAAACATTAGAAGTGAATGCACACTGGCACTGTGTCACAAGGACAGCTGTTAGAGGGGAGAAATGGTTCCTTCACCACGTTACGTATGGATGGACAATATATCGGCATCAATATCGATATCGGCCGATGTTAGTCATTTTTTAAATATCGTATCGGTCCGATAAATAAAACCGGGCCGACATTAACAACAGATATTTTTTCCATCTCGTCTCCATTTGTTTGCGTGTTTCAGAGGGTGACAGGGTGATGTGTATGTGTTTAGTCGTGAACAGTGAATTAAATCCTCTCAGAAGTGTAAATGTGTGTGTTGTGTGTACATAATAATGTAAATTCAGCTTTAATAATGTTCATTTTATACAAAATCAGCTGATATATCGGTATCGGCAAATATCGGTTATCGGCCATAACAGTGACCTTAATATCATATTGGCCCAAAAATGTAGAAAATTCTAGTTTCTGTAAATAGCGCACTGGTGTATTTTGCCCCCCGAGTACAACTTCCTACTAGAGATCACTGCAAATGTATTGATTTAAGTGTTTCTCACCTTTAAATACATTTTAAACTCCTACAAATTGTTTAAATGGCATGTTTATTTGTTATTGTGTGCCTCTACTTCTGTTGTAAACTGCATTTATAATATTATAGACAGGAATTTCTCTCTTTTTTTTTGGCATCCATTCATATTTTTTATTTAACATCCTTAAAGGCACACTTGGCAGTTTTGCTTTCTTTTGGCAACCCTTAGAGTCTGTTTAGTAGAACCAAAAGCGAAACTTATCTCCCCACTGCACGTTTGTCATCTTACCACCTTAATCTCCTGAGCTTTGCTTAGTGTCCACAGGAGTGATTCATAACTAAATCAAACAAATCAAATGATCTAAAACATGCAGGAAACTTGCTGGAAGCAGACTCCAGCGACATGCATATTAGCTCAATTTTTGTTTTTTGTCCAACAGACCGGACCAGCACTCTGAGGTTGCAACCGCAGTATTCTGGCCACTAAAGGCAGTGGAGGTCGTCTGAGTGACATTTCATTAACGCGTCATTTTAACACATACTGGCTCCAAAAAATGATTTCAAAATATGAAAAAGTTGCAAAAAATGATTTCAAAATATGAAAAAGTTGCAAAGTATGGCTCTAAAGTGCATTTTATTAAATCTAAAATACCCCCCAAAATTGGAAAGAAAGTGATTATCAAAAAGAATGAAAATGCTTTTAATCCCTGCACTCTAAATACATCATCATTAAAATTTTTGCTGACTAATTTGTCAAATAACAACTATTTTATCATCTTTTTTATTTTACACGTACGTCACCAGTAATATGTCACATTTATCTGGCTGCATCCTGTTTTTCTCCGCATCACTCAGTCTGTTTTCATAACCCAACACATGCTTTGTGTGCGCTGAATGACCTTTATCTGTGTGTATGTTGGGTGGACATATGGCCTACTTTTCACTCCCCTCCACATCTGTGCAGATCAGGTGAGGTCACTGGCCGCTGACAATTTTAAGCACATCACATGACCAATAAGCATGAGATTTGATTGGCTAAGGGGTTAGAGAATCTAGCTGCAGGAAAAATAGGCTTACAGATGTTATGAGGCACATTTGTTCCAGCTGTAGTAGGGATGCACTCAGCCATCAGTTTTCCAAACAACTGAAAAACAAAAGTGACACAAGCAAAAGATAAATGCTTTAAAAATACATTTAGATTTAGATAAGATGCTTCTTATAACTATTATGTGTGATTCAAGTCTACATTAGGAAGAAAATTCCTCAACAAGGTGACCATTTCTCACTGTGTTTGTGGGAATCCGTGTGCATGTGTTAATTAATCCTGATTACCTCCTGGCGTTGTTGTAATTCCGCTTTTATTTGTCGGTGTGCCAAGAAGCTTGGGATAATCCCTTTATTCCCTTATGTTTCCTCTCTCCTGAGGACCAAATCACCTGCATTTACACACATCAGCGTACAGTTGATCATGCCCGGTTATTTGATTTGTGTGTTCCCAGCATTTTAAGCATTTGGTGGATGAGCTTCATGTCAAAGGAGAGGGGAAAGTGAAAAATGCAATGAAGGAATCGTTCAGGATCCTTAATGAGGTTTGTTAAAACTGTTTAATTAACACATTTCAGCATTTTGGTTGCAAGAAACACAAGAAACAAGGAGAAGTGAGAAAATGCACAGGCAGCAACTCAAACTGCAGATTCGTGTGTGTTTGTGAAGGCTGCTGCACTGGGACAAGGCAGCTTGTGCAACCAGGCCATCATGCTTATAACAGACGGCGCCATGGAGGATTTCAAGGATGTTTTTGAAGAGTTCAACTGGCCAGAACGACGAGTATTACACACACTCACAAAATTAATCCCAAAATGTCCACAGACTCAAGAAACAATTTTCATGGAGCTGCTTGAGTTGTATGAGCGGAAATGTTTGTAACATTTAATTTCTGTCCAACTGTTGTTTCAGGTCCGCGTGTTCACTTATCTCATTGGACGTGAGCTGACTTTTGCTGAAAATGTCAAATGGATTGCTTGCAACAACAAGGGTACAAAAAAATAAAATATTTCTAATCTTTTATCATTTTTAATCTAGTAAAGAAAATAGAAGTTATTTCATCACCATCTGCAGCGCTGCATCGGAGGTCAGTTGCTGCCCTCTTGTGATTTACCCAGCGTCATGCAACAGCTTGCACCAAACAATCACATTCTTCCACTGTAAGAACATAAAGCATGTGACTATAACTGATTATCAGCACACTGATGTCGTAAAACGTCCCATTTCCTATTTTGGAATTATTTGATTAGTTTTACAGCAGGGATGGTATTAATGCTTTACTTTTCACTTTAAAAGTTTAGAATAAAATTAAATAAAAATAAAATGCCTTTGTTAATGAATTAATTACTTTTATTCCAGCAAAAGGCAACAGTAAAGGGAATAATGTTACGTGACTTACTTATATGTCTTGCAGGTTATTACACACATGTGTCTACACTGGCTGATGTCCAGGAAAATGTCATGGAGTACCTCCATGTTCTCAGCAGGCCGATGGTCATCAACCATGACCATGATATCATCTGGACAGAGGCCTACATGGACAGTGTGGTCGGTCTTCTCCTCCTAACCTTCATGAGTTTTTATGCATTAAACATTTTAACCATCTGCTGGTTTGGAAACATTTACACACATTTCTGTTTGAGTCACTTCAAAATACCCTGCCAGACATACCGTTTATTATGGTAACCATGTGACTTTCTCAAAGTATTTTTATAAAATTACACAAATGTCTGATTTACTATAGAGACAAAAACATGAGCTTTAGTTTTATAAAATGTTTTATTAATTATTGGGATTATTTATTAAAGATGTGGGACTCTGAAAAGCCATTTTTTAATGATTATTTCCTATTATAATTGGTCATTGTGAGTTTTTAATGCAGGCTGAACATAAAATAGTCTCCTACTCCTATCTCCTGCATTAGCTTCTGATAGAAAATAGACAATTTATCTCTAGGATTAGAAAAGCCTGACAGATCTACGTCACACCGTCACTTAACATTCATGGACTCCATCTTGACTCCCCACGGAGAAGGATGTTGTTGGTTTAACGTCCAGGAAAAAGCAGAGATCATCCCGACTAGTAGAAGCTAACTGTTAGCGTTATAGCAACTCCACCACAAAGCAGAAGCTCCTCCAGGCTATTTGTGGAGATAAAACACAGAGTCATGTTGCTGTTATCCAATCAGAGGCGAGATGTCCAAATATCAGAAAATAAGACACCAAATCCCACCGGTTAAGCTCTCCTCTGATGTTGCTTGTTCTAGTTCTAGAAACAAGCACACACACACACACACACACACACACACACACACACACACACACACACACACACACACACACACACACACACACTTTTACTTTAATATAGGCAAGAGTAACCATATTTTATTCGGTTCATGTTTGTGTAGAAATGGTTGCCTCATATTAAGAAACACCACTCACTATATAACTCACCATAGGTTGATTTTCACATTTGACCACAGTAGCAACAAAAATATTAAAAACTTTTTATTAAAGATAAAGTCCCATTAGTCATTATCGTACACCGGTGAAATTACATCTCTGTATTTGACCCATGCCCATTGGGAGCGGTGGGCTGCAGCAGTGGTCGTGCTTGGGAACCATTTGGTGGTTTAACCCACCAATCCAACCCCTTAAAGCTGAGAGTCATGCGGGGAGGCGTTGGGTCCTATTTTTAAAGTCTTTGGTATGACCTAACCAGGATTTGAACCCCGTTATCACAGTCCCAGGGTGGACACTCATACCACTAGGCCACTGAGAAGGTTATAATGATTTAAACATGTTCGAAAACTGCCTTTAACATCAGCACATGTTTGAGGTTACCTGAGAAGGTTGCATTATTCAGATCAAAACAGAATAAACCATGACACTCATCTACATAAAGCTTTAGAACACATTTTAAACAGATATTTTAGATGAATGACCGTGGATTCAGGATAAATATCACTGATGCACCTCCTTAACAGTAATAGCAGCACGATTCTGTCCAGTTTTTAGTAGTATTCCCTTTAATGTGTCCTCTGTATCGAGCTACAATCTCATCTCTATCATTTTTCCTTTTATTCTAGTTTTTTCATTTATTCATGCATTACATCTCATGTCTTCTTCATGCTTGTTGTTTTTCCATTCTCATCTCTAGCTCCCTAATAAAGATGAGGTAATCTTATGTGGAGCTTTGTGTCTGCCCTATACTGTGTAAAGTAGCTGTGTAGATGTTGTGTAAAGCACTTTGCTCACGAGCAAACCTGAGTTTAGTGAGTTTTAAGCTTCTGTTTTTCCTAATGAAACGCTGGGTGTTGAGGATGTTAGCTCATGCTAAAGGTAGCCAGTTGTGCTTTCAGAGAGTTTGTTTATATAACAGCTCAAATTTATCATTAGTTTTATTTTAGACTTTAGGAGCTCGTCACTGCTGCTTTGATCTAAAATGAACCATTTTTGCATTACAATTGGAAAACTCTAGTGATTGTGGGGGTTTAATCCACACTGGAAATTAGCACCTAAAAATGATTCGTCTCATTGCTACAGTGACAATAAAGGCTTTAAAATGTAGGTTTTTAATTTTTCTTTCACTTATTGTCAACTTGTTCACCTCTATTCCATCTCCTTTGTTCCCCATTCAAATCAGTCATTTCCATTTGTTTTTAATATATGTATAAGCTGTTTTTTTCACGTAAAAATAAAATATAAAGAAAAAATGCTGTTGAGAAAGGAAACTTCTTTTGTTTCTGTTGTAGATGTTCAACACTCAAGCACAAAGCTTGCTCCTGATGACATCAGTAGCTATGCCAGTGTTTAGCAAAAAGGAAGAGACTGTAAGTCAGAATTTTCTAACCTCATTTAAGCTCACATTTAAGCCCACAAAGGTGTTGCTATCACAAATCTTCTATCTTGCTTGTTTACATTTTAAACATTATCTGTGCAACGAGACAACTACTTTCATTTATAATAGTAAAGCGACAACAGCAGCAGAATCTCGCTCGTGTGCATTAGTTAGCCATGTCTTTCTTCTCTTGTGAATTGCAGTTATGGTGATGAACATTTATATCTCAAAAATCTCTGACCTGACATTTTAGGAGAGAGAAGTAGCTGAATTGTTCAAAAGTTGTGTCGTTTACAGACTTAAAACAGTTAATATTTTCCGATATTACATTTTAATGCAGATATCAGCTGAAATTAATTGTAGATTAAGCACCCCTAGTATTTATCATAGAGAAACCCTTCTCATGATGGGCACGTCTTCCTTGATTATCTTCAACTTAAAGGTTGAATATGGAACACGGACACTTGCGAACTCTGGCGTTCAGAGGTGGAATCGCAACAGCAGGACAAATTTTACAGCCTTTGGGATGTTGGCTCATTGTCACCATGTTCAGTGACAAATCGTACAGAATAAGGACTAATTTCTACTAATAATTTTATTTTACAACAGTATTTACCGTTAGAACATCTTCTGGGCTCAGAATCAGCTGGTTGACTAGTCAAGTCCGCCATTTTACACAGTCCCAGCCTCGCCTTGCTGAGTGGACTCTTTAGCGCAACGGTGCTCTCTAGTGGCTAATAGATGTAAACATAAACCCAGTCTCGTGCCCAGCAAAATAAAATGTTGATTATTTATTATTTTAAATATAGCGTTTAAAGGAGAAACTGTACGTTCATTCTGCACACCTCTAAACGCCCCGTGGAGGTATAATTTATTTTTTTTAATATAGCTTTTTGTTAAAATGTTACATATTCTAACTTAAACTTTTTATTTTTTCATTTTAATTTGTCCATAAACTATTTTAGACATAGAATATTAAGGGGTGTACACCCATGTTTCAGGACTTCAGGCTAAGAGAAGACTGATCATCAGATGTGACTCTGATTAATCTAACCTATTCCTCCGTTCTGTCACCAGTTGTCCCATGGGATTTTGCTGGGAGTGGTTGGGACAGATGTGGCTTTGAGAGAACTGATGAGATTAGCTCCAAGATACAAGGTAAGTCCTCTGTGATTAACTCTGATCAGCCATAACAATAAAACCACCTGTTTTATAATGTATTGGGAAAAAGTAGCTTTTACACACCAGGCTATGCACTCTTTTGGAGTTTGGTGTGATGTATTTCCATCACCTGGATGTTGGCAGCAAAGTCTCAAGGGCTTGTAGATTGCTGTGTGTGTGTGTGTGTGTGTGTGTGTGTGTGTGTGTGTGTGTGTGTGTGTGTGTGTGTGTGTGTCTTCCTTTAATGCTGAATGATTTTATAATTCTGGCTGATCAGTTTACTTTGAAGTGTGTAAAACAAACTACTTTGAGTTAAAGTCAAGCTATTTAGATGCCATACATGTCGCTCACGTTGACAACAGCTCTCTGTCCTTTTAGCTGGGTATCCATGGTTACGCCTTTCTCATCACCAACAATGGCTACATCCTGTCTCATCCTGAACTTCGACCTTTGGTAAAACTTTGCCCCGTAATGAACAAAAAAAAAAAAACACTGCAACTGAGAGACTCAAAGATTTTAAACCTGTCACAATTGTGTGTGTGTGTGTGTGTGTGTTTGTGTGTGTGTGTGTGTGTGTGTGTGTGTGTGTGTGTGTGTGTGTGTGTGTAACAGTATAAAGAGGGGAAGAAACTAAAGCCTAAACCCAACTACAACAGTGTTGATCTGTCAGAAGTGGAATGGGAAGACACAGAGGAAAAAGTGAGAAATATGTTCCATCTCTTCTGTCCTTGTATTAAAAATTTAATGAGTGTAAAAAAAACTATAGATACTGAAAATGTTTTTTTTTTTCATAGCTGAGGTCCGTCATGGTCAAAGGAGAAACTGGAACAATGTCTTTAGATGTGAGATCTTCTGTAGACAAAGGGGTGAGTATTTCTCCATTTTCCTTTGAGAAATCATACTAATTATTTTTTTATATGATTTTTCTTGTGAGTGTTTTTGTGTCTTTGTTTTAAGTGTAATATTCTTCTGTCTCTTGCAGACACGAGTCATCTTCTTAAAGAATGACTACTTTTACACTGTCATCAATGAGACACCATTCAGGTTTGTGTGATTATTTGTGCCAGCTTTGTCCATAATTACAAACGTCTTTATTTGTTTTGAACAATTAATTTATGTTGCATTTAGATGCTTCCAGGTAGCGAAATGCAAGCATAATTTATTCTATGAATAAGAAACGGTCTTGAATTTTAATTTAAGAAATGAAATATGTTCCTCTTTTTCTCTATTAACAGTTTAGGGATAGTACTGAGTAGGGGGTATGGGCAGTATATCTTCACAGGAAATGTCTCGGTTGAGGAGGGTGAGTCTTGCCCATCATTTATTATCTTCTGCTTCAAACTCACAACCTCTTCCTCTCTAAGCTTCTGTTGTTCTTCAGGTCTTCATGATTTGCTGACTCCAGATCTGACCATAGCCGATGAGTGGTGAATGTTCTTTAACTAAATACTACTATCTCTTATTGATGCATTTTGATCTAAAATGGACATTTGCGTTGCGTTACAGGACCTACTGTGAGATAGATATCGACCCAGCTCATCGTAAACTCAACCAGCTGCAGGCTATAGTAAAATATCTCACAGGCAAAGATCCGAATCTCCAGTGTAAGCTCCATCTGAACTTCACTCATCCATCAAGTTTGAATTTTTTTTTTATTTCCATGCAACTGTGAACTGCAGCTTCAAATCTTGTCCTGATATTTTCTGTCATGTTTTTGTTCTTTGTGGTGTTTTCAACAGGCGATGCCCAGTTATTGCAGCAGACGCTGTTTGACACTGTGGTTACTGCACCTATGGAAGCTTACTGGACGGCACTGATGTTAAACGCATCTAGGTGAATAAGCACATGTTCAAAAGCCCACAGATCTTATTTTTAATTTCCTATTGGACTTCTGACCTGATGAGTAATTTTATTAAAATCATCATTTCCATACTCTTTGTGTTATTGTACACCCTATTAGTATGGATGATGGTATTGAGACGGCGTTCTTGGGGACCCGTTCAGGCTTGTTGAGATTCCTGAAGTATGCTGGAATAGAGAAAAGAGTTGGCAAGTGAGTATCAAAACTGTGTTTTACCTTACCTCCTACGCCAGCTTGATAAGTTTCACTTCTATGCAGATGACTGCCAGATCTATTTTCCCTTGCTTCAGAGGACTCTATCATTACTCCTGGTCCTGGTTGGCCGCAAAATTGAGCTCATCACATTCAGTCCAACTGGGTCTGGGTTTTTCTCTCAACCTCAACACTGTCTCCATATCACACGACTGTTGTTTACACCTGGGCGTGAGACTTGATGCAGCACTAAAACTCAACACATCAACATGGTGGTGTGATCCCGTTTTTTAAAATAATTATTTCATTTTCTGTTCCTCACTTCTGATGACCTTCAATGGTGTCTGTTTGTTGCAACAGCAGGTACAAAAACTAACTTGTTTTTATTTGACTATTTTTCTGTCCTGTCTGTTTATTATCTTCCTGCATCTCCTCTCAATCCTAAAGAGAAACTGCTACCTGGGTTCATATATATTCACCTTATGAGTTACCTTTGAACTGCAGTTCTAAAAGATCTACCGACCGCAAAAACAGCGGAGCGCTTGCTGTTTGGCGGCTGTATCAGTGATCAGTGTGTCGGAGGACAAGGGTATGCGCGCAGCGCCCCGCTCCACAGCATGCAGTGAAACGCATCAGGCGCAAATAAAAGACAGAAAACATTAAAGGAAATGAACTGACATGAACGATTGCGTGTTAAATTAGTTTTTGAGGTGGCGACACCTGATTGTTCCTGTGGCCGTGCTCAGGAGGCAGATCTACCGACCGCGAAAACAGCTGAGCGCTCCCTGCTGTGATCTGTGCGTCGGAGGACAAGTTGATGCGCCCCGCTCCACAGCAGCGATACACATCAGGCGCAAATAAAAGACAGAAAACATTAAAGGAAATGAACCAACATGAACGATCGCGTGTCAGTACCTACGGTCTGGCACAGAGCGTTGCTGATCACAGAGAATGTGATCATACGATAATTCAATAGGGAGCGTGGTTTCACAGACGCGGAAGTGATAGCATCGGTGAAACGCCGGCTGCTCTAGGAAACCCCCGAGCGTTCGAGCGTCAACGAAGTGACACGGAAATGCCGGGCTTTCCAGAAGTAAGTAAGATAACTTACTATGAGCTGATAGTTCGTTGGATTGATCGGTAGGTTGGAAACTCTGATCGTGAATCTGAAGAAACGATGACTGAGCTGGAAAGGCGACTTCCGTTTATAGCCGCGGTTTGTGACGTAGGTGCGACGTGAAGGGAATCCCCGCGAGGGGCATGCTGGGAGTCCCTACTTCGCGGATTTTCACCTATCGCGGCCAGGTCTGGAACGCATCTACCGTGATAAAAGAGGGATTGCTGTAGTTCATACACCCCCTACTGCTGCTCCCCAGAGTGTTCTGCAGCATAATCAGCACGTTCTCTTTGAACTTGATAGTGTAATGACCTGGCTGGGGTTGTAAGCCAGGTGCATTCTGGGTATTGTGTTATATGTGTTTCCTATCGTTCTGCTAGTTCCTATGTGCTGATTTGCGTGTTGTGTGAGTGTTATGTAAGCCACAGGGAAGGTGATGTGTGTTCTGTGGAGCGGGTTGAATTAGCATGGTTAACTGACACCGTGACTCTGTGTGGTAGGAGCGTGATAGAGGATCGTGTCTGTAGCGTTACAAAACGTTGAAGAAAAAGCCTATTAAGGGTCTGC